CTTGCTGAGGGTGCACTCGATCCCACTGTCTATGTCATTCAGGTTGGAAGGAACCACAAAAGGTTACCTAATGCAACTGATCAGTTCTGGCATTTGCCAGGCATTTTATGGAGTAGGCCCCATCTAAGGGGGGTCTATTATACAGACAGAACTTTAAGACATATTTTGATGGAAGAAATATCGGGGGTTTATATGATTTGGACCTCTGCATGAGATCTACATTTAGGAACTAAAGAGAATCAAAACTAATTAATTTTATTTGAAACATGCCAATATGCTTTTTTTTAATATATATTTCAGCTTACCTATGTATCTCAGAAACAGTATCTGGAAGAGTTTGATGTGGATTTTTTATAACTTCATTTGTTTTAAAGATCAACAAAGCTGTTGATAAAACAAATGATTGTTCCTTTAAGCTGCAAATATTTCATGATGAACAGAAAAAGAAAATGGGGTAACTTGGAAAGAACAGGAGCAGCTAGGACAATAGTGGCAATGATGTTTGTCTGAGCTTATGCTCCTGCTTCTCTGTGTGTGCCCATCCTTCCTACAGACACATTTTATTAATATTTGGGGACTGAAAGGCTTTAAAGCTTCACAGAACTTCTTTAGCTGACAGCAAAACACAGACCTCTTCATATGTGCTGTGGGTGTTTTTTGCCTGTGAAGGCAGGGATGCATAGGTCTCATACAGGGCTGATTTTCAAAAAGGCCACTGCTGCTTCATTTTGAAAAGGAAGCCAGGTGTATTTGTCCAAATATCTTACACCTCCACATCAGCTACCACCCCCGTTTGTTCTTATTCCCTGTCTCTACAGCTATACACGTACCATTGTCATGAGAAGGAAAAGCAAAAGGTGTCTGTCTAGTCTGGGACTAGAAAGTTCCTGAAATGGTCTGGGAAGTGATATTCATCCCAAAGCCTTCCTCCTGATGTATGTCCTAAAGCCTTCCTTAAGTGGTTTTGCCCATTTTTTTCCTGGTTTCTTAATCCCTGGCCCAAGTAGCAGTTGCATTTCCTGACTTACAGAGGACTCCTTGGGTTCCTAGGGATGCAGGCAGGCAGGCAGTGGGCTCTTCTCCACAATATACGTAATTAAAGTCAGGGTGAAAGGGAATTCTGTCTGTACATGTTGGAGGACCACAATCTGTTGCCATGAATGAATATACTGCTTCTTTCCCATTAACCATTGTTCAAGTCAGAGCAGTCCTCTACTTTCAGTAGTGTTTTTAATAGCATCAGAAGCTGAGCAGGCTGAATATTGTCCGGATTAAGTTAAAAGGTTTTCAGTTGAATTCAGAACTGTTTCTCCTTTTGACCTCATTTGTTTTCTTTTATCATTTGCATGAGTTTGTTATTAGCACTTTTAACCTTATACACGCATTTGGGAATAGCTTTTCTATGTGTGAATAACCTTGTTTGAATGCAAACAGTAAAATTTTAAAACAAGCGATACTGTGATTTTTGCTGTCTGATATTCACCATTCATTCTCTGCTGTTCTCCTGTGTAAAAGGTTTTAGTTATCCAGCCAGGGAGAGAAGCATGGCCCAGAATATATGACTTTGAATATGGGTCCCAACTTCATTGCACCTAACCCTAGATAATTCAACCCATTAAGCCACTTCAAAACTTTCAGAATCTGATTAGCATCTTGGAGAGTCTCCATTGACAATTTAAGTAGTTTTGTAGGTAGGCTCTTAGATTAGGTATGCAGTCAGGCCTTTGTTCCTGTCAGTATGCTGTTCTCAATTAGTTTTCCAGCCAAATTCTTCAAATTTTGTTACAAAATGCTTACCAAACAAGTCAACATATCAAATATGTAATGAAAAACATCTAAGTCTTTTCACAAGTGGAAGACAGAAGACCTGTACAGGGTGAATTTGGAATTGGTTGGGAGCTGCGTTACTGGGATTCCAGGAGTCTGGGTGCTGCTTCTATGGCCGTTTCTGTTTTGTTTCTTTCTAATATGAAATGCAAGGACAATACATGTAAGAAAACATTGCATGACATTTTTGAGAATTACTTTCATTTGGAAATCAAATAAAATTTGCATAAAGATAAAAAGGTTTGTTTGCATTTTCAAAAAGTTATATTGCAGAAAAACTGAACTTTCTAAGAATTAAAGCTGACCATTAGACTGAAGCAAGAAAGCCAAAATATTGCACTTCAAAAATGATTACATAAACATCACTGTGTGAGAATCTTCATGTTACCAGGTGCCACAGCTCAGAGAAATTGGGCATACTAAAATTTTATATTAAAAGAAAAAAAAGGATTGACAATCCTAAAAAACCTGTCTGTTAAAATAATCCAAATAATTTAAAAATTAATTAAACACATCTAATGGAATGCAATAGAACTAAACATATGGCAGTTACAATCACCTTTCACATTTAGATGATTTGTTGATGTCAGTGAAAGTATTCATTTGAGGAAAATGGTTAAAGTTTGGTGTTTCGATATGCCTTGTTATCCAAACATTCAACTCAGGATAATGTGAAATTACGGAAATTATAACAGACGCATTTCAAGTAGGCACAGAAAGAACAAATCAGTGCAAACTGAATGAGTTGGAAACTATGTGATAGTTATTTTTATGGACCCTAAGGAGATCTGGTTTTGCAGAGGAACTTCTTCATTCTCACATTGCCCACTGGTGGTCTCCAGACGGTGAAAGACTGGCGTTCCTGACCATAAATGACTCTCTGGTGCCGAACATGGTTATTCCCCGGTTTACTGGAGGTCTATATCCAAAAGGAAAACAGTACCCATATCCTAAGGTAAGATGAGTGTGAGTGCAACCCCCGCCTCCTGTTCGTTGTTCAGTGATAGTATTCAACCATATGGAAGGAGTGTTTCTAGACAGTAACACAGGCTGATTTTGTTCATGTTGCTTTTCAGGAAATATTAATTACATTTTTTTTCAGTAGTACATTCAGAAAGTACGTTTTCTTTCTTCACTGGAAAGAAACTATTGGGTGAGGGAGCAACACACAAACTGATTCGTAGTAATTCCATCATTGATATATGGCTTGGTAAAATCAATCCACCACTTCTGAGAGAAGGGTAATACGTTTTGAAGGACTGCACAGAAAAAAAGATTCTGTCACAACTGCACCAGAGTCATGCACGCTGTGTGCAGAGTGCAGGGCATGTTCCATTGCAGTTATATGGATCTCACTATAGTACGCTGTTATTAATAAATGTGATGGACTGGCCTTGAATAAGATAAGGTGCAGTAAAATCTTTTCCTGGCTATCAAAATGAGAAAAAAAAATCTATAAAAAAATAGAGCTATCACTGAGTTTCAGAAGATTTAGAGAAGGATTTTTAGATTCGTGTTGGAAAGTGAAAGAACATCCCAGACAGGGATAATGTCCGAAATTGCTCCTCATTTTCTGGTGCCTCCCTAGCCTTCATTTTTTGCTGAGCTCCAGCACTGGTACTATCTTCCATCTTACCAGTTTATCCATCCCTTGCGTGCAATTTCAAGGTGTCTGAGTTCCTTTCTGACAGGATGTGTAGGTCCGTGTATGTGGTACTCCTTTGACGTTTCAAGGGAAGTTCATTGAGGGCTTTAGAAAATATTACCCTATTCCTGCTACTGTTTTTTAGTGATAACCCTTTATTCTTGATGGGTGGACAGTTAGACTGTACCAGGTACTATGAAACAATAATATGCGTGATATAAATATAATGTATTTGTGCTATGAAATAATACTCTAGAAGTAACAGTACTTTCAGGATAGTTTACATACTTGCATTGGCAAAAGGCCTTCAGTGACAGAGCAAATTAAAAAGTAAGGACTATTTTTAAAAGTCAGCTTTGTAAACAAGAAATGAGTAATTCCATTTCATTAACAATTCAGCATAAAAGTGATACACAACACTACTTCAGTAATCTCATTAATGAAAAAACATTATCTTTATTTAATGTCTCCATTTAATGCCAATTTAGCTACCCGTTAAACATCATTAATTGGTAATGAAGCTTGTGTTATAGCAACAGAGATTAAAAAAAAAGGTTTGGTCTTTATTATAGAATGAAACCATCGAAGAAAATTGTATCTATGATTAAAAAATAAAATGAAACCCACGTGTGTTTGTGAATACTGAAACACGCGCATCTGTGTATGTGTCATATGCACAGACTGTATTCTTCAAAAAAAACGTGAAAAAGGAAGTTTAAATTTTGTTAAATACATTGAGAACAAAGTAGGATTTCAATGTAAAGAGTTCTTGCGCTACTGAACAAATGTTTTGGGTACTCCACAAAGTTTATGCTATTTAAATAGCTATTTAAATAGCTATTTAAATAATAACTGCGGTGGGCAGTGCCGTGCCGCAGACCCCTCTGCCACGTCCGGAGCAGGGCTGCTGATGGCAGAGCTAGGGTAGTGCTGTGCTTCTGCGCTTCAAGTTCGGGGGCTAGCACAGACCCGGCCATGCCCACTGTGAAGGTGTGCTTTAGGGTGTCTCTCTACAACCCATACTCATGCTGGGTAGTAGTTACTCATGACAGCCCTCCCAGTGAGAGTACTTGGATACCGCTATGCAGTCAACATAAGGTTCAAAGGCTATAAGGAGACTGCAGTTGTGACTTGATCTTTCAGTGGTTTTCTTCCACAGTTTTGCATTTGTGTAAGCTGTGTTCATGCCAAGGATGGCTTTGAAAGACCACATTTCTTTTGAGGCAAATGTAAAAGTTTTTATGAAGAAAAAAAAAAAAATTCCACAAGTCTAATTCAATCCATTTTCAAAACTTTTTTTTAGCACTAGTAAAAATACACAAATACCACTTCCTTGTCCCCATGCCACTCAGACTATATTTTGACATGTCCAATTCTTAAAGGGAATTTGTGGGTGTATTTCAGCCAAGCTATTTTGCATTTCTAAATACCCCTGTGAAGAGCCAGATATACAGCTTTGTAGTATATTATGATTAAATCTGTAGAATCAGTGATTTTACCTTGTGCTTCCAATATTAAAAAGCAGTCAACCCCATTGAGAGAAGAGCTTTTCACACCCCCCCATCCCAAGGATGCTATATAGTGTTGTGTGACTGCCGTGATGGACATAAAAAAGAAGCTTGAATGTGATATGGCTGGGACAGGGGGATGGGACTAGCAGCATCTCCTTTCCACCCTGCAGAGCCTTGCCTTATTTATCGCCAGTCCTTTCTCTTCGTATCAGGAACCTCCCTTAGTACGAGCTGTGTTACCGGGAGGAGGAGAAGTCCCACCTCCCTGTAG